ACGCTTAAATAATATTATAATAAAGGACTAGATACTATTACCGCTTATATCGGAACTATAAGATTAACTATCTAGTAAAAATTAGTTTATAGCCCTTAACCTTAAAGGCGCCTATAACTTAATATATATAAAAAAGGGATATAAATATATAATAGCCTTTAAAATATAATTTAGACTATTTAAATATTTAGTAATACTATTTAGACTTATAAATATACTAGTTACCTTTTAACGGATAATTAATAATATCCTATATAAATACTTAGATATCTTTTTAGTAGTATACTTAGATAATATCCTAATATTTTTTAATACCTTAGAAGAATATAAGGAATACGTTTATAAGGTACTCCGCGTACTTTAAGATATAAAGTTACTAGTTAAACTAAAGAAAAGTAAGTTCTATATATAGGAAGTAGACTTCCTTATATCTACGATCTTACTAAGAGAGATATAAATATAATAAGATAAGATTAACTTAGTTAAAGAATAGCTAACGCTAAAGAACGTTAAGAATATAAAAAGTTTTCTAGGATTTATAAATTACTACTAACGATTTATTAAAGATTTAGGAAAATTTATAGTACTATTATATAACTTAATAAAAAAGGAAAAAGGATTTATATAGGACGATAAAGCTAACGAAGCTTTTAAATATATTAAAACTATAATTACGTAAGAACTAGTCTTAACTACCTTCGATTTTAAATAATAAATTAAACTTATAACTAATATATTAGACTTTACTTTAAGAGTATAAATTAAATAAAAAGATAATAAAGGAAGACTATAATTAATTATATTCTACTTAATAAAGCTATATAGTATAAAACTTAATTACCTTATCTATAATAAAGAATTCCTTATAATTATTTAAGCTTTTAAGGAGTTTTAATACTACTTTCTTAAAAGTAAATATAAAGTTAAGGTTTATATAGATTATAAGAATATTATATATTTTATAATAATATAATAGTTAAACGGACGATAGATTTAATAGGCCGAATATCTATTAGACTTTAACTATAAAATAATCTATAAAAAAGGAATATAAAATAGTCGAGCTAATACCCTTAGTCGATAAAGTAACTACGATATAAGGGCACTTATAGTAAAAGGATAGCTCTTAGAAATTAATAAAACTAAGAACTACTAGTAACGATAGCTAAATATAATATTTAAAGTATAACCTAACGACTTAATATATTAGAAGATCTTAAAATAGATAAAAGAATATAAAGTACTAAATAGATATAATATAGAATATTTCGAAGTTTTAATATATATAAAAAAATCTAGATACTACTAGAATTATAAGATAAAGTTATATAAGATATATACGAATATTTAATATATAGATACTAAGGAATTTAAAGAATAATAAAACGGATTAAACTATAATATAACTTCTTATAGCTTAAAAAAGTAGTATAATAAGTTATTAAAGAATATAAACTTTATATATAAAGTAAAGCTAAACGATATAAACTATATAAAGAATTATAACTACTACTAGTATAAAAGAAACTATAGGATTTAATAAATTTCGACTATATTATAAAGCTACTACTATTAAAAGAACCTATAACTAACGTTAAGTATAATAGTATATTCGTTATTACTAATAGATTAATAAAGGATAGATACTTTTTACTATATAAAGAAGTAAGTAATATAAAAGAGCTAGTATATATATTCTTATAAATAATTATTAGTATTTATAGACTATTAAATAAGATTATCTTTAATAAAGGAAGTATATTTATAGCTAAATTTTAGTAAGCTTATATAGTATAATTAAGGACGAAATATAAGCTTAATATAGCTTATTACCTATAAATAGATAGATAAATAAAACGACTTAACTAATCGCTTAAATAATATTTACGATATTATATTAGCTATAAATAAAACGATTAAGTTAAATAGCTACTAATAGTATAACTAGCTTATAATAGCTTAGTTATAGAAATAACTAAGCTCTTACTAGTATACGCTAATTATAGATATAACCTAGAAGTATTTAAGGTTACTTAATAAAGACTATAACTAAAATAAGCGATACTATAAGTAGATTAACTATAAAAATTATATAAAGAAATATAATAAGAACTTTAATTTATTAGAGAATAAATATCTACTTACTATAATCGGAAAAGATTATAAGGACTAATCTTTTAAGAGGGAGATATAGTCTACCTTATATAACGAAATATTAAAATAAAACGACTAAGTAATAAATTAGATTTTAAGAAACTTAGACCGTTTAAGGTTAAGAAAGCTATTTTAAAAGTTAACTATAAACTGTCGCTACTAATAATAATATAAATATACTAGATATTTTATATCTTATTATTAAAACTAGCGCTATAAAACGCTAAACTATAGGAAAAAATTAAAGTTAATAACGATTTAGAATATAAAGTAGAATAAATACTAAATATAAGAAAATAAGGTTAGTAATAAGAATACCTTATTAAGTAAAAGGGATATAGACTAAAGGAAATTACCTAGGAACTACTTAAGCACTTAACCTACTATAGCTCTTTACTTTAATAATTTTACTAAAAGGTTTAAGAGGGATTAAAGGACTAAGATCTATAAACTCCTTACTAATACTAAATAAAGATTAATTTACTTTATTAAGAACGCTTAATAATTATAAGTTATTTACTACTTAATACTTATACGTATTAAGTATAGGTAAAATACTATCCTTAATATTTATTTCTTAGATCCTATAACGAAATAACTTAGAACTCTTTTTCTTTATATAATTCTAAATCTTCTAGATATAAGCTAAGCGATTAATAGCGATAAATATTTACGACTAAAAGTTTATAAGCTATACCTAAAGCTTTAATAAGGCTTCCCTAGCTTCCTCTTCTTTAAAATATAGCCTATGCTACTCCGCTAATAATTTAGTTATTAAAAGAAATATATTAGCTACTATATATAGAAAGAATTAAAAGATACCTATAAAAAGAAGCTATTAAAATACTATTATAATAAGGACGACTACTAGTAATATAATTATTATACCGCGAAGAATTTTCGGCTATCTAATAATTCGTTTTCTTTACCTTAAAGTATTAAGTATATAGTATATTAGTAGGATCTCTACTTAAGTTAATATATTTAGTAAGAGTAGCGCGCTTAGAGGCTTTTCGGGAACGATTTTTTAATATATAACTAGATATACTATTAGTAGTATATCTTAAAAGGATAAAGAAATAAAGAACGATATACTTATATATAACGCGATAAGGGTATATTTATATATAGCGGCTAAGGTAGCTATAGTAGGTCTTATAGATAAGACTAAAAGGAGGGGAGATATTATATTATAACTATAGCTACTAGGCCGCTAATAGTCGACCGCGTTAAGCACGTAATACGGTTTAATAGATAAATAGTCGGTATAACTATTTAATAGATATAGGATTAATAGGATTATAGAGATCTAAGTAATCTAAGATTAACGAGATTACTATACTCTATATAATCTAACGTTAGTAATTACAGCTAGGCCTATAATCTAAGGATAGTCTTTATAAGTATATATAGCTACCTACTTTTACTCTTTTAGATAGATAGCTCTCTAGCTTTTAATATATAGATCTTTATTACGATTTTATCTTTAATTTTAATTACCTAGTTATAGTCGACGGTCTACGACCTCCGACTTATTACTAATATAATATACTTATTATTACTTAGACCACGCCCTATTATATCTATTAATATATACCCCTCGATAGGTTTATCCCTTAGGAATAATACTAGTTATTATACCTAGATTACGTTAAGATATATATCGCTATATCTCTACCTACTAAGATTACTAACTTACGAAGCTAAGGCATTATAAACCTTATAGGTTGCTAGCGCTATAGCTAGCGCTAAGCCGCCCGTAGTAAGAAATTTCGATAGATTTTATTATAGACCTTCCGCTAGTTTATTATAAGAAGAAGACCTACTCTAGTATCCTAGTCGTAGTAGACCGATTAACCTAATACGCGCGCTATATCCCGGTATTATTACGTATCTCTAGCGATAGCCTAGTAAACGTATTCTTAAGAGAGATTCTTAAGTATTATAGGATGCCTAATAGTATCGTTAGCGATCGAGGGAGCCTATTTACGGGTTACTTCTAAGCTACGTTCTACCACCTACTTTAATATAAGCGACGCCTTAGCATAGCCTTCTATCCTTAGACTAATAGCTAAACTAAGCGGATTAACTAAATAATCGAATAGTATTTATAGACCTTCTATAATAAAGAATAGTTAGACTAGATAGATAACCTACCGTTAGCGGAGTTTACCTATAATACCTTATAGTATAATACTATAAAAAGGGCTCCGGCGGAAGTCTTAATAGGTTATTAGCCACGCTCTAAGGGGCATGTCAAGGGACAGCTCGAAACCTTTAGCACCCGGGCGATAGACCGAGTCCGGGGTCTCAGAGAACTTTACCCGCGCACGGCGCTCCTCATCACAAGAGCCTAGGAGCGACAGGCACGATACTATAATCAGGATCGAGAGCCAATGTCCTTTAAAGAGGGTGATTGGGTCCTTATCTCCACGAGAAACCTTCCGTTGAGGCGCCCGACTAAGAAGTTAACGGCCAAGTTTGTCGGACCCTCCATCGTCTTGTCGGACAATATTACAGAGAGTGTCAAGACGAAGAAGCATATAAGTAGCTTGCATAGTAGCGAAGTACGAGAAAAAGAAATATTGAGTCTAAAAGGAAAGGAGTGCTATTAGGGGACATGGTAGAGTAGAGAATTGGGTCTAAGTGCGACAGAGTGTAAGCAAACCCACAAAGACCGAACACTGCGTTGTAGATGACGAATTCGGACAGAGCTGCCTAATAATGTAACTCTATTGGCATCTGCGGCCGAGGCATCTTCCGCAGTCTCCATCGTTTCGGCATAGCTAAAGATGGTTATTACGGGCGTTGGCGAGATTCATCTAAACAGAGGGAGACGATTTGACTCACCCTATTGGGGTGTCCCTGACAGTGGTCACGACGGACGTTCCCGACGACACACTGGCCACAATCCGCATCGGTTCGGCAATCCTGTAAATTTGAAAATGTTCGTAATGCACTTGGGGTAAAAAGGGGGGGAATATGCCGGCCGACTAACAGCTCTAGGGCGTCCCTGGCAGTGACGGCGGCCCCGGGGGCCGGCGACGCATTGTCCGCAGTCGGCATCATTCCTGCATTCCTGTAGCACCAAGTCAGCAACTTCAATTCCGCCAAAAAAAAAGGGGGGGGGTTACTCACCCTTCTTGGGGCGCCTTGGCAGTGGCGACGGGGGACGGTGCTGACAACACACTGCCCGCAGTCTGCATTGGTTCGGCATTCCTATGGACATGACCAAAATGGTTGGCAAAGGTCGTGTACGAGTAAAAATAGGGAGATAGCGCCGGATGACTTACCCGCTGAGCGAAGATTGGAGCAGCCAGGGCTCCGAGGAGAAGGAGGCTTGACATGAACTTCATTTTAATATTAAGGAGCAAGACAAAAAGTTACTAGAGTATTATGTATTGGCTTATGATATGATAATAAGCGTTGATGGAGTGGACGACGAGCTGTATTTATACTTGAACCGACCGCTAATGAACCCGATGATGGCCTAGATAGACATATGGACAAGGTTCAAGAAGAGTCATCTAGAGATGGAGAAGAAGCGGCAATTGACCATCGGTTATGCTGCTCTCGCTGTGGTTCGCTGCACAGTTCGCTCACCTCGCCAAGCACTTCTGCTTGCATCACCTCATGCAAGCTATTTGAGTTGCTTCAGGAACCTTGGTCGACAGCGTTGTATCCCGCTTACTGAGGAGGTTACGCATGTACTAGCACCCAAGAGGAAGCTGTTGGATGCCGTGATAGTTCTAGAACTACGCATGTTCGTTTCAATATTCACGGTAAAAGGCTAAATATGCACAAGGTTAGGATTAATCATAATTTTCGTTTGCTGAAATGCTACATTTAGCGAGCACGGCACGCCCCCAACAAGTGGCAGCGCGCTCTCGCAAAAGATGGGAAGCAGTCTCGTGGGTGTAATCCCAGCACTCACATGCCTCTTGCCAGCCCCAGGTTAGCTGCCTCAGGCCCTGCGTGGGCTCATGAAGGAGGTTCTAGATCGAGGACTTGCGGCTGACGGAGCGGTAAGGGAAGAGGTTCAAGCGTCTCGAGGCGCCGCCGGGGGACAGGCATTGACGCGTTAGTGAATTTTGATTTGTCGAGCTGGGTCCGGGAGGTCTCTTTTGTGTACCTTCCTTGCTAATAGAGGCTTAAAAAGCCGGCCTGCTGTGAATGCTCCGTGGGAACCGTCTTCTATAGGCGTTTAATAGAAGTCGGAAAAACGATCGAAATAGGGGAGAGGTTAGTCTTTTTTAGTAACCGTATCGGGCCCTATACCTTCCTTTGCTTCTCGAAGCAGGGACAAAAAGGCAGCCGGGTAATCCTTCGAGAGAGGTGCCTTTCCTACCCCCTTAGGGGTCGAGACGGGAAGACTAATAGAAAAAGCTGCTTCTAGATCTTCTTATTACGTAGGAGGAGGCGTAGGGAGGTAGGCGTATTCTAGCTCTACCGCTTTCCTATAGTCTCCTTCTTCGTCTAGATTATCTAATCTAGTAGCTTCCTCTTTTTTAAAGTCGGCGTTATCCTCGACTACTTCGACGTTAGTTTCTTCTTCCGTTTCCTTATCTAGGACCTCTTCTTAAGACTATTAGGAAGGGGGGATTTAAATCTTTTAAATTAGCTAACGTTAAGAGAGTAAGAGGGGCTATTAATCCCTCTTTCTATCGAAGAAGCTAGATTCATCGAAAATTATATCCCTAGTCGAAATAACCTTTTATAGAAGAGGAATCTAGATCTTAAAGATATTCGTAGAATTATAACTAATAAGGTAACTAATAAAGGCTTTAAGATTAAGCTTTCTTTTCTTCTTCCTTTTTAGCTATATATTAGTAGTTATAGCGTATGCCTTATAGCTATAGGTATAAAGGTAGGCTAGCGAGGCCCTCTTTTTTATAAAGAGCTCGAGGGGGGATTTCTAGTCTATTCCTTAGTTTAGTTCCCTAGGGTCCTTAGGGTCCCTAGGGGTCCGGTTCTAAAGGTAATAGGCGGTCTTAACGACTTCCCTTTAAAGGTCGTATAAAAGCCTTATAGTAAGTCTTATCGTACGGGCCCTTTCTATTATAGTACCCCTTAATCTTTCTACCCCTCCGTTCTAGGCCTAGGTATTCGGTACTAATAGGAGGGGTAAAATACCCCCTTTTCGAAGCTAGTTTAAGATATCTTTCGTAAATAGCTCTCTATTAAACCGTATCTTCTTTACCTTATAGCTAAAGTAGGATTTTATTTAGTTAACGAAGTCCTAGAGGGTAAACTAGTTATACTTACTTAGGTAGGTCTATAAGAAATAAGGGAAAACTATCCCTAAAAAAGCGTCTATAAAAGATATTACCTTAACGAAGCTTTCTTAGTCCTTAGAGACGTCGGTCTAGTCGACCTAAATTTCCTTATATAGCTGGTCCGGCCGTAAAGGGGTTCGTCTAGAAATTCGTCTCCTAGTCTTCCCTTAGCTATAGTATTCGTATTCGACGGTCTTTAGGCTACTTATTCGTACGCCCTATTATTAGCCTAGCTTATATAAAGCTAGGGGGGCCGGGTAACTAAGTCGTGTATACTAAAGAAGACCGTTTCCTTAGGCTGCCGGAAGAGGGTCCTTTATAGTAGACCTATTCCTCCTAGTAGGGAAAGCTAACTTCTTAAGAGGTTCCTTCTTAAGGATAGGTCGGAATTCGAGAATAAATTAACCGAATTTCTCCTCGATAAGCCTAATAGTCTAATTCTTCTAAACTAGCCTTATAGGCGTAGAAGTTATATCCTAGAAGATTCCTTCCTCTTAAAGAAAGCGGAAGGAAATTAGGCTCGTTAAAAATCAAGGGTAAAATACCACCCTTTTTCGCCGTAGAATTTATATAGACCTATTAGGTAATTTTATTATAAAATTCACCCTTCTATACCCCTCTATTTATACGGTTAATTCCCTAGTAATAAGGTATTCCCTCCGTGCCTTCTTAAAGGACCGGAATCGTAAGAGGGTATTATAGATATCGAGGGAAGTACCGGAGTTAAGGATATCTGATTTTTATAGGGGATAATAGGAGGGTCTTAATAGGCGGTCTTACTAATCTATAGAGAAGATAAAGGCCGGATTTACTATACTAACGATTTTTCCTTATATTTACGGCTCGAATAAAGGTAGCGGCATTAGTTACTATTTCTTAGTATCCAGAATCTCGTCTATCTTCTTCTATAACGAGGGGTCCTCCTTAAGAGACTTTTTAATAACGTCTTCTAGTCCCTTAAGAGGCGTAATTTTAGAAGGTCGACTTTCCTTAAAGACCTACTAGTAGTCTTCTAGCCGATAGGGCCTTTTATACGCTTAGTAGGTAGGTCGATTCCTCCTCGTTCGTTATCTCTTTAAGGAGTCCTTATCCCTTTCTAGAAGGTCTACTTAAAAACCCCCCTTTTTACACCTTATTAATAATTTTAACGAGATTCGATTTTAACTAGTTCCTTGATTTTTCGACTAACGGACTAAAATGTCTATTAGGGGACTAGTTAGGCTGGACGGACTAATAGGACCGGGCCCGGAGCAGTAGGCGGAGCCGGGGCCGGGACTAGGGCAGCCGTTAAAGATAGGGTTAAGGCTCTTAAGGGAGGAGGAGCCGGAGGGGCAGTAGCCGTAGTAGCAGCAGCGGGGGCCGTAGTAAGAGGGGCTATAGTAGCTATAGGGGCAGTAGGTCGAGCCGTCTAGGTCGAGTACTAGCTACGAAGGAATAAGACTACTTACTATTATACTTTAGTAGCCTCTTTATTTAGTTCCGAGCTAGCTTCTTAAAAAATAGTTAAGTAACTATTACTAATAGGCTTTATTAGCAGAGATATATCCTATAGCTACTAGCTAAAAAGAGCTTCTATTAGGAAGTATTAGTTAGCTTCCTCGAGGATATCTTCCTACTTAGCTAGCTATAAAGAAGCTAGTAGTTTCTTAGTAGAAAAGGCTCCTAGGTATACTATATAGGTCTTCTTAATACGGTTAGTTATATAGCCCCTTAAGGGAGCTATTAAGGTCTCGAGCTTTAAAAGCTACTACCTAGGAGTCTCTTCCTCTTAAAAAGAGATTAGCTTTATAGTACTAACGGATTCTATTATCGCTATATATATAGTAGTTAATAGCTTTATCTTATAAAGGTATTCCTTATAGTAACTCTCGTAGTTACCTAAGGTAGTAGAAAAAGCTCTTTACTATATATAGGTTAGCTTAGAGAAGAGGGAAGCTCCCTCTATAAATTCTATTGCCCTAAGATAAAGAGGGGGCTTAAGAGGGTCCTACTTATTAAAGAAAACTAAATTATAGATAGTTCTATCTATACGAGCCCGTAGCTCCTTTACCTACTTATCTTAATCTTAAGGCTTTATAAGAATCGTCCTACGAACTATAAGGGTAGTAGAGGAATAGTTTTTTAATATTATTATAAGGGAAGGGTAGAAAAGTTAGTTATAAATCGGCTTTTTTAGTAAGAGGGGTAAAAGAAAGCTATAAGGGATATAAGAAAGGTGCCTTTTATAGTAGCTAAAAGGTATAGGAATTCTATTCCTCCTAAGCTTATAACTCTTACGAAGAAAGATATAAGAAGTATATATAAAATATATAAAGGTGAAATTAAAAGTAAGGGGTCGGATTGAGAGGGCAGAGATATTTAATTCTTATAGGGGCAGTAATTATAGTAAGGGAGTAATTTTTTTCTTCCCTTAATTATCCTTCTTTCCTTTATCTAATAACCCTCTTTATACTTATCTAGTATCTTAATTAATAAAGAAGATCCTACTTAAAGAAGCTATTAATATCCTCTTAACTACTAAGCTTTTTACTAGTTTTTCCCCTTTATTCTTATCGCGTACTCTATATACGTTAATTAACGCTATCGCTTATATCTAATAGGCGGCTATATCTTTTTCGTAATAATTCTAGCTATTACTAGTATATCTATCTTATCTCTTACTACCTTTATAAGAAGCTATTACTACTTTTACTTCCCCTCTTACCCTTACCCTCCTCTTTATACTTCCTTTTAGCTCCTTCTTTTAAACCGGTTTTTTAGCTTCCTTAGTCTCTCTTACTAAAGGATATCTCCGAGAACTATAAAATTAAGCTACGCTTCGCGATAATAGCTTAAGCCTATAACCTATAATAATTAAAGACTCTTATATTAAGTAGCTTAAAAAGGAGTAACCTAAGGGCTCTAGGGCCCTTAAAAAGGAAAAATACTAT